CATGGCCATTATCAAGAAAAATCATGATCTAGTTTGTACAAATAAATAAGACCAATTGTTGCTTTTCCTTCATGGCCATTATCAAGAAAAATCATGATCTAGTTTGTACAAATAAATAAGACCAATTGTTGCTTTTCCTTCATGGCCATTATCAAGAAAAATCATGATCTAGTTTGTACAAATAAATAAGACCAATTGTTGCTTTTCCTCCATGGCCATTATCAGGAAAAATCATGATCTAGTTTGTACAAATAAATAAGACCAATTGTTGCTTTTCCTCCATGGCCATTATCAGGAAAAATCATGATCTAGTTTGTACAAATAAATAAGACCAATTGTTGCTTTTCCTCCATGGCCATTATCAGGAAAAATCATGATCTAGTTTGTACAAATAATCTTGTCTTCTGATGATATACTGTACCAAATGTTTTGTACGTATGGGAATATCGAATTAATATTAATGTTTTTCAGGTATTTTTCATTTACTGCACAGAGCATAAATATAGTTTTTTTTTGTCCCATTGTTTTAAGATTAATCATTTCTTATCGTTTGTTAATTTTAATGATTGCACGTAATTTATGTTAATAAGAAATGTGTGATTTGTAATCAGCATCTAGAAAATTAACCAGTCCAACAGAACATCCATAATTGTGGATTACGTTAGATGTATTTGGGCTTTAAATAATGAACTATCACGTGGGATGTCTCCGGTGGCTCATCGGCAAGTGTAAGGGCTTATAATAAACACCAAAAATCAAGTTTCTATATCCTCGGTGGGCAGAACACAGATAGCCCATTGTGTTGCAATGGTCAATTTTCCCGGATTTTTAAAACTTATTTAGAGGTTGTTGGGAGCATAATACAGACTGTTATTAAATGCAACTTCGTAATGTTGAGATGGATTAATTTATGTTTTCATGTACATTTTATTACATGTTTGATTTGTATTAAACTCAGAAAAATACTCCAGGAAATACACTGTAAAATAAATAATTGACAAATGTATGAACTTGGAATGTTTCACGAAAGAAGCGCAAATCTGAACGTCAGATTAAGAATTTTACTCTTACAGCATAGCCAGCTCGAGGGACTACACATAGTTTAAATCCTTAATTGTTGACACAGAATCACGTGCATGTCCCTGTTACTAGTGCTTCAATCACTTAATTAATTACAATAAAACCCTAAAAGTTTTGAAAAAATGAACCAGTCCTCATCAATGGCAAAGACAAACTTTTTTGTACCAAGTTTTTTTTTATTATCATCATTTAAAGAAAATATAATCGTAAAACTTACAGATCGAATGCCTGGATATTATTGTAAATCTAAAATCAAGGGATAAAAAATTGCCTATATAGTTTATTTCTTTGTTTTTATTTCAATATCTTTTAATTTTTCGTAGGTTTTTAAGTTTGTGCTACTCTCCCGATTGCCATGAGTGTGTATTTTAATTCAATTGATGCAACCAATTTAAAAATAAATGAGGTGATTTTGACAGATCACTCACACTAAGTAAGCCTGAATTTTTAACAGTTTAATATTTGCAATATTATTTCCAGGATAACATAAAACATAATTATTTAAATCCTCATCAAAGAAAACCAAGATAGATCCTGTCTCATGGGGATAATCATCATATTTTGATTTCTTTCTGGTGTTTTAGGAAGAACATAACAGACAACGAGTGTATTATTTGTGGAAATCCTTACAAAACATCAGATGATCAAGACTCAGAAAATAACTCTTTTTGCAATTGTACTAGCATGGTTTCCTGTGAGAACTGTAAACAAGACACAGAAGAGAGAAGATTGGTTACAGGCTTGGTTAACCCTTCTTATATGTGTTTAGAACATTCAATGTATCGAACATACCAAGAAAAGCTGTTACATTACAAGAACTGGTGTATCGTGTGGACCACTATTATGATTATCCCACTAAGCTTGCTTTGTTATGCTGCCAACCTAAACCTGTCTTGGGCTTATCTCTTCATGGGCATCCTCATCAGTTCAACAGTGATCCCAATCGCTTTGTCTGTCTTGTGGTCCCGGATGAATGATAAAGGGATGATGGTGGGGGCCATAGCAGGATGTATATCTGGTTTGGCTTCTTGGCTTGGCACTGCCTCTACCTACCCTGGAGGTCTGAGCGACTTTTTATCGAATACGGGTAGGGAAGTTCCAATGTTGGTGGGGAACTTGGTGTCCATTGGAATGGGTGGTGTTCTTAGCGTCTTGGTTTCTCTAGCTACAAACTCGTCATCTGCCAGGGAAGAAGAAAATCATGACTGGGAGAAGACAAGAAATATCGATAATCCTTTAAACCCATGGACTAATGTGTATCAAAAAGAATTTAAAATTCCAGACACTCGATTGTATCAAAATCGTCCTTCGCTAGAAACTGTTGTAAAGGCTTTCAGAAACGCCAGGATCATTGCTTATGTTGCTGGAGGAGGCCTAGCTGTTCTCCTTCTTATCATTTGGCCAGTAGCAGTTGCAGCTGTTAAAGTACTGAACTCATATGGGTTTTTCATCTGGACAACCATCTCCCGTGGGTGGACATTCGTTGCTGCTGGCTTCATCATAATTGTTCCATTTGTCCAAGAAGCAGTGGCTATTCTCAAAAGACACCAGCGAAACAAGAAGATGGAAAAGGAAAATAACATCAACAATAAAAATCTCAGTGGATCTGTTCTATTGAGTAACACTTATTGTTAAATTAAAAACCTTTTATCACATCTAGTAACCTCAGTAAAGAAATAATTGAATTATGAAAATAAGATCTTGACGTTACAATAGCATATTTTTAAAAAATGATAAAAATCCTATAACCCGAGCGCTTTGTATCAAAACTTCTTGAACCTATGTGTTTTCTGACATCATGAATAGCTTATTTTAGTGGGAGTTACACCGCGCATGCCTAGCTTTAGAGGGTAGGCGAGTCATATAGGCAACTGCCTAGAACAGCAAAATCAATAATTGCTTTCATACCCCCTTTATTTGAATCGACTATCTCGCGTTCGCTTTACATACTGTAACTTGTATTATTGGCCTGGAAACTGCGTTCATGCACACAGATACTGTAAAATAATCAACATAGATATAAAACAAGCATCTAATAAATCCAAGAAACTAGATCTTGAAGAAGTACTCCAAACATCTACAACTTAAAAACAAACAAACGAGAACACTCAAATTCTTCTAAATCTAAATAGTAAAAAGTAAGACACAGACATGACTGCTAAAGTAAAAGTTAACCCAGAAATTGGAACGTTTTGATCGTGTTATATTATTTACAAATATCGATATGTTTATCAGCAATAATAATGTAAGGGTTTCCGTGACACTTTCTTAATTCTGGCCTGTAGGTGACATGGTTTGTAATAATAATGTAAGGGTTTCCGTGACACTTTCTTAATTCTGGCCTGTAGGTGACATGGTTTGTAATAATAATGTAAGGGTTTCCGTGACACTTTCTTAATTCTGGCCTGTAGGTGACATGGTTTGTAATAATAATGTAAGGGTTTCCGTGACACTTTCTTAATTCTGGCCTGTAGGTGACATGGTTTGTAAAGCCGACTTTCATAATGCTATAAGTTTAAAATCCATCTGTTTAAAGATGGTGAAATATTTCCAATATTTTCAAATATGTTTTACTTTGATGAAGGCTGCTAATGTCCATACTGTTCTTTATTTAGATACGTATTGAATTATTAACATATTTTTGGTGTTTTAGCTGTATACGATTTTCGTTAGTATATGTATATGAATAATTGCTCAATGTGGTCAACTTTCCTGGATTTTACTAACGTAATTAAGTGGAAACTTGTTTAAAAACGACCTTTCGGTTTCTTATCCAAAGTGCTCCCTGTGAATTATGGTTAGCCAAATAAATCTTCTTTTAAACTTTCAGCTTGTGTGTTTTGAATAATAAATCGATTAGTGATTAATAATTTTGAAAAAAGAACAATTTTTTATGGAAATGATGAAGTAAATAAACATAAAATAAAGACAAAAGTGCTTCGTTTTGCTGAGAACTTCTGGCTGTCTCAATGACTGAAGAAAACCATAATATCTCGGAAGTTAGAATATATAAAACAAAATTTTTGACTTATAGTTGCCTTTTCAGAGCGTACTAGTAAAATTTGATCACATGGTTTCGAAGTGCTTATAATCGACAATCATCACATAGAAATCAAATGTTTCGAGATGAATTCAAATTGCCTTTCACGTTGATTCGCGTGTAAAATTATGAAAAGCTTTGAATTAATGTGCATAAATTTAAAGCCCAATTTTCAAAATGATTTTAACGTTTTAACTGTATGCATACCATCGTCGTTCACCTAGAGAAAGAAACTAGGTATAGTGTATATTTCTTGCACTATAGCAAATGTCATATCGTTAACAAAATGAACACTAGATGGCAATATATGTTGTATGAAAGTCTTACTGTTCATGTTTCTTTTGCCAATTTTCAAAATGTATTTCACGATAACAAGATTGATTAAAGAAGTTTCTAATGGTTATTTTACTCCTTGAGCTATACTCTGCCCATGTTATATTGCATGTTTTTTGTTGCTAATTGTATGATATAAAATTGAATCTAGCTTCTGATGAGAGTAACATAGAGAAATGAAACACGGTGAAGGCTGAGCTGGAAAGAATGAAAATCAAAATTAGCAAAATTTTCAAATTCGTAAATTGACTACAGTGGAAGAACTCAGAACCATTCTATTAGAACTTTTTTCTACTCTGACATGGGCTTAAACATGATACAGTGGTTAACGTATCAGACTCGTTGTTCAAGGGTCTCGGATTATAGATGTGATGCTCCGAAATCATACTTCGTCATTTCAGCTTTGGGTGTATTATATAAGAATAAGCAACAAATAATACCATTATTCGGTTAAAGTACCGGCGATTGTTAAACTGCTGCCTTCCCTCTGGTCCGCAGTTCAAAATTAGGGATGGCTATGTCCGAATAACAGGAATCTCTGACCTTGCCTTTTAGCTCACGTTAGCACAAGATGTCGTACAGGTTATCAAACAAACTGCTTTTACGTACATCATATACAAAATCATCAAGAACCAATAAAATGTATAATGGAGGTATCAGAGATAATATGAAAATTAGATTTTTCAAACCACATCAGTTTTTACTATATTTATTCCTCTGAATGTTGTAAACTTGTCATCATGGCATGTCCGTACTGAATTCTCAATTACTCATTTTTGGTGATTTCAGCCTCCTGAAACGTCACATCTTGAAATTGTTTGCCTGTAGGAGGCATGATTGGCGTAAGCTGTGTCATGTATACCTCATGGAGGGGGGGATCCAGACAACATTGCCCATTCACTGAAAACTAGTGTGGTTGCAGAGTGTCACTGAGACGTGTGGATGGCTGGTTTATTATCAGCATGACTTTAGCTCAACATGATGGATATACCAGAGTTGGGTGGTCTGTTTGAGGTATAGCTACTACAGCTATCACTGTAGGCTTTTTCTCTCTATTTACCGGGTTGCAATGGAAAATTACCTCTGTCGAGGTGAGGATACCTCTCACACTCAGGCGTGCCTCTTCTATGGTGTTCAAGGCTGGATCATACACACATAGGCATTAAACTGTTTGCTCCCTAAACCAACCACACAGGCAGTTACCAACCTGAAACACTTCAAGGAATGGCCTAAGTCTTCTTTTGTCATTCCTTTAAACATCAGGGGCAAAATCTGCTTGTCTCATTCGCAGAGGCCTGTGATGTTGGCCAACCCCCC